GTCAAAAAGTCAGGCAGATAATTTGAATCACCATTAATATGTTCGATTGTAAATTAAAATGCTGAAAGTATTCCTTGCCATAGGGGGAAAAATTGTTTTGAAACGAGATTTTTAACATCTTTCTCTAAAATATCTTTAGCTGTTTTACAATCAGTTCTCATAAAAAAGCTTTGATTAAGCAAGTAACACAATGGACAAGAGCAAAAATTTATTGTTTCACTGTGGAATATTTTTGCTGAACCGGGTTTCAAGCTTTAGAAGTAAACCAGTTGTTCTTTGCCATGAATTCTTATATATATATATATATATATATATATAGAAAAAAATTTTAGAAAACCGAGGCTCTAAACAATCAAATTAGAGCCCACGTCAAAATTTTCACTAGAAAAGGTTGTTTTGATGCCCAAATATCCTCAAATTGATCATCTTGATAGCAAGATGCATGGACACGAGAAAAAAACAGTTTTCAAGTTTTGGAAATAGTGCATCTCGTAACGCATATTTGGACCGTCAATTTTAAAGATTTTCAAGTTTTCATAGATCTGCTCGATCTACACTATTTTTTAAGCTTTAAATTTTATAATTAAAAAAGAAAATATATTTTAAGGCTATCACAAAGATTTCCAGTTTGAAACCATATTTCTCGACACTATTAGAAGGTGCACTTTACTTTGATTGTTTAGAGCCTTGGCTCTACACAAACCGCACCCATATATATAGAGAGAGAGTTTTATTACGCTACTTTAAGTACTTGGCATTCTTTGGATACTCATTACCCTTGCCTGTTAATAAAACAGCATTTTTTGTCATTAGTAAGATAAATTGACATTTTATTGGGTGTTATAAAGCAATTAATGCGCAATGTGATTGATGTCAGACCCATATCGATAATATTACATCCCCCTATGATGTTGTCATTCACCATAATAGTTAATGAAAAAATTTGTTTCGACCAAAGTTCCTACTTTACCACCCTTGATTAATTACTTAAAAAAGTTCTCACATTGATGAGCAAGGTACCAAGTGTCCAAAAATGGGGAGTAGATTTAGAAAATAAACCATGAATAGAGTAAAGGGGTTCTATTGAGTCACTCCATTCATTGTGCATTCCCTAAATCTACACAACATTTTCAGATACTTGTACCCTTGCTCCTCAATAAAGTAATTCATCTCGGCAATTAAAATAATAAAAATTAGAAAAAGAATTTGACAAAAAAAGGGGGAAAATAAGTCTTCCATGTTTAGTGAATGCATGTTATCCATTTGGTGGATGGTGGATCTAGACCTTCAAGAACTTAAAAGGCATGTTTGGTACACGTGAAAATACTTCCATGAAAGTATTTTCATGCGGAAAAACTCCCTCATGTGATTTGGTGTGGGAGTTTTTTCACATCAAATGGCTGCTAATTGGTGTCAAAAGTGCGTTCGGACCAATTAGTGTGAAAAAACTTCTACACCTAGTCACGTGAGGGAGTTTTCATGCATGAAAATACTTTTGTGAAAGTATTTCAACGCATACCAAACATGCCCTAAAATCATAACTTTTAGTAGTTTATTTTTCAAATCAGAGACATGCAATAATTCAGACAAAAAACGTCCTTCTAGGTACTTGTTTTGGAGCACAGTTTATACTGTAACCACAACCCCTTTCTCTCACAGAAATTATTTCCATATGTCTGTGTGTGTCAACAGTCAACACACTCAAAAATCTATGTGCGCGCACACATAAAGAGACCTCATTTATTAGAACTCTATTGAGTGAGATTAATTATTTTATTCAATTATCTTATTTTAAGTTGGAAAATTTGTAAACAATAAAAAATTATAATAAAAACATAAAAACTAAGAAAGTGCCGTATTTCTTAAATTTTACATGAAAATAAGAATTAAAAAAATAAAAATGAAACTTTATGTCAATCCCATATATGCAAGGAAACATAATTCTGCATCAACACAAGCTACATCAAAGCCATACTTTAGCTTAACGTACAATGCATCAACACAAGCTACAATCAGTATTTTCTAAATTAATGGATTTTATGCCAAGTCTCAACAATGGCTTCTTTTTCTTTTCTTTTTTTTTTTTTTTTTAAGTCTCAATATCCACAATAAACAAAAAGTGCAATGCACATTCCACTTTTTTTTAATTCATTAATGCACATTTCCCTTAACAAATTAAACCTCACGGAAAAATCAAAGTTCATACCTGAACCTTATCCTGCTCAAGAAGAAGAGATATTGCTCCAGACCAGTAACAGTCATCAAACCACCAGTCAACCAAATCACCAACTTTCCAAGTATCACGAATGATAGCCACCACTTCAGTTACAATGTTTTCTTCCATTCTTTCACTTTCCCTATTGAAACATGGGAAGCGTGGTCGTACCATCAGATGCAATTTTCTTTGATCCCGATTACCCTTACCTATTGAGGGATCCTGGTACAATTTGGTCCATCTAATTTCTGTGCAAGAACAACAACACATTCAATGTGCTGGGAAAAGAAAATCAGATGCACTGATGCTCATGACATATAGTACTAGAACGGAAGAAGAACAGCACATTACTACCCTATGGGTCTATATCAATTTAAAACCAGATGTGCATTTAGCAAAGACGATTATTCGGAGCAAGGATTGTCAACTATCCAATTTTCTTCAGACTGCAAAAGTTTCTCATTTCTTTCATAGAAGACAAGCAAGGGTGTTGAGAGAGCCAGGTATTAAGAGGTAAGGACAACCTGCCATTCTTGAGAAATAAATTGCCCCATGAAACACATGCAAAAACAGACCTTTTTTATAATTTTATTGGTGAGTTAAGAATTGTATATTTGTATAAAAATGTGAACTATACTTCCTGGCAGGTCTAAGACAATTTTTCTCAACAAAACTATGGAAATTATGGTTCTGAACGGTAAAAGGTATCCATCAAACAAATTAGAAAAGCAACCATTTCATCCATCAAAAAAGGCCCCACAGAATTTTAGAAGGCACGTGCTGTGCCATTCAAATCTCCAAAATTTCCAGATCCATGTGATGTATCTTTGACAAGTCATATGGGTAGTTGGGTACCATGGGTACTTTGCACAATAGGGTAAAAGTACGCATCAAGCAAAAGAAAGAGTATCAGTAGAATAAGTGTATTATTGCCCATAGGACCATACAATGTCTAACGTCATTAGTGTCATCACCATCAATCAATGGACTGACGATGTAGAGAGAGGTGCGACCTACCATTGGGTCACGGCATGTTCTGGTGGGTCCTATTCTCTCTCCATCACTATCTGCCCATTGCTTCGATTGTGATCGCAGTTATGACCATAGATTCTATGTTCATGTGGATCATGGTTTACTTTTCCACAAGATCATCCATTATACGAGTAAAGACAAAGTAGAGAACAAAATGCAACACAATAAATAGGATGAATCAAACCACATACTCTCATCCGGAAAGTCAAAAAACTCCAAAGAAAAACCACACTGATTTTTACGGAAGCTCATGCCCTCAATCTGCCAAAGAATAACTCATTAGATGGGAGTTATAGTTATTGAAGTATTATCATCACTCACAGGAAATGCTAGAAATTCTACAAACGAACAAAAAACAAGAACAAATTGAAACTAACACAAGCGAAATTCATTTGAAGTATCATAAAGAAAAAACAATAACCTGTATCTTGGAAGTAAAATAATGCCATAACAGTCACTCCTACATGGAAATATGATCTCAGGAAATATCGAACTCTGGAAAAAAGGACGGCATGACACATCCACCAACTCATCTTCAAAAAATGCCCCTATTAAATTAGAAGATGACCAGGATGGATAATATCAATTATCATTATTTTTTCTTTGTAAGGACATCAAATATAATTCTAATACTTAGTTGCAGGAACCATTTATTACAAATGATGCCCATTTATTACAAATGATGCTAAATCTCACTAATGCTCACTAACCTAGGTTCCCAGCCATTCCCATCCCTGGTTTTAAATAGTAAAACTCCCAACTCTCACTTGTTGCGGACCCTCCCTACACCGATAATCCAGTGACCTATTCCAGATGAGAGTAAGCAATAAGTCTCATAAATCCCTTGTGCAATATGCATGTATTAACCAGACATATAACTAATGCAAACAAGTACAATGGAAGTAAAATATTAGATACAGAAGCCAGAAAATATTAAAAAAGTTAAAAATTTGCTTTTAATATGAGATCCTCTTAATTGACAATATTTTCATCAGAGGAAAACAAGATTTACATAGTCTAAGCCAAATGGTATTTATCAATCATCTGATTCCGTATAACACAGTATTTTTTAAGGCAAACCAATAATATTGTCCTCAAAAGTTTAGACAGTATTCTTAAGGCATACCACTTGCATAGTACTTGAAGGTTAACATACTTCTTTTATTGGTATAGATATCAATGCTAATCCACTTTAGTAAATTATATCCATACCGTGCATCGGAACCATGCACCACGATAACCTTGAGCAAACGATTTTGACTCTATTTGCTGGCCATTTTTGAAAGGAAGATTACAATTTTCACCCATAATTATGCATATAGAGCAAGAAACCTGAAACCAGAATTGTGTTATATGTAAGCAAATAGCAAAGTAGTACATGAAAATGATTAAAACCACACTCAAAGAACATTAGAAGGTCCCAACAAATCAACATCATGGTCACACCCATTAAATGAACTACATTTAAGAAAATCACAGTGAGTGGAACTTAGTGACTTGGGCTCAGAGTCCCACGAGTCACTCAGACCAGCCAGGGCCCCAGTTCCGGTTCCAAAACCTCAAGACTTGCCTGAGTCTAACAGGGCCCGGGACCCTATTGTGTTATTTTGAGAGACCCTACTGTGTTATTTTGACAGAGACTCAGCCAAGTCCAGTTGAGACTTGGCCAATTTGTATACGCGGCTTGAGCTTGGGCCTGCTCAAGTACAGGCCCAAGCTCGACTTTTCAATAGCTAGAAAATCATGATGAGTAAACAGCTGAGCAAATATAAATCTCCAAGCCCCTTCAAAGTAAGAGAAATGCTGAACTTTGAAGAGATTTTTCAAACACACACAAGTTTCATAGAACCTTCATTTTGTAATAAAAGAGAAAGCAATGCCACTTTATATCCATTTCCATGCATTTATTTGTTTATTTTATCCTTAAGGACAATCTTGTTTTTGTGTAATAATTTTATTGGGCCTGGGAGAGAACTCTCTGCAATATGTTCATGCTTGTTTTTTACATTTCAGTCAAGGCCAGAATCAATGTCTAAGAAAACTAGCAAGTTACTCATTTTCACAATAAATACAGAAATAAATAGTCAAAGTTCAACACTCAACAGTCAACATCATAAGAATGAAATCATGAAGTTACATTAAAATATACAATCATGCCCTCTGGAGAAAAGGTATTAGCATTTCTGCTCAACGGGGTTTTATTTTTCTTTATTAGATGGATAAACTCTCCCAACTCGTTGCCAAATTGATACATAATCAGTTCTTGATCTTTTATGTACATGGAAAGCATTGAAAGATAAGGGGCAGGGAGTAGTCTAGTTTACAAACAACAGAATACATCTCTAATAATTAAATAAATGTAAGGAACTTGGTGGTGATGCTATGGTGCCTAATGAGCCATAGGAGCCATAGAAGAGTTCTGAGCACTCTGCTTGTTCTCAGAATAGCCCAACGTATCCCTTCTAATTTGAGAAGGAAAACACTATAACACTGGAGTAAGTCAGCCCTCCAATTTTACTCTCATAAGAAAAACAGGATTACATTTTTTAAAGATGTTAGAAAGGGATTTTCCTAAACATCCGATCCTGAACCTATCCCTATCATAAAGAAACACCCTAAACTAATAACCTGCACAGGAATCCAACTCTATCAAAATCAAATCTAGATCAACTAGATTATCAATATCTAATCTAAATAGTGAGGTTCCCCAATACATATCAGAGTTCCAAGAGAAATGAAGTTTGGAATCTGACACCCTAACTTAATCTTGATTTCCATACAATCGCATTCTCAATCACACTAGAGGATGGTGTTGGAACCTTGATCTTCTCCTTCTTCACTTCCTGTTTGGATTTCCATTTCCAAAACCTCTAATGTCATCTTTACAAGAGCATGTGGCTGCCAAAAATCTTGCTTGTCACGTAGCACGCCTCAAGAGGTGATATCTTGCTATGCTTCACAACACATGACCACCAAGGCCATCTTTGGGTTATCTTTCAATACCATGACCCACACCTTGGCCCTGTCAAATTTCTATCCTAGAATGATGAGGGCATCATGACCTTCTATCAAGACCAATTTACTGTAACTTTATAAGTGTGTTACTTTCTTTTTATTTGTTTTCTTTGGATGAGCGAAACCAATGACTTCTAACAATTTTAGTTATGTTAGGGTATTATGTCTTTTGGGTGTTAAAGAGAATTCAGAGGTAAAGTGGTCATTTTATGATCTTATTTTAGTTAAGGGCATTTTAAGTCTTTTTTAAATAAATATGTATAAAAACAGAGGCGGGATGTCCAGCCTCTTGGAATGTTTATTATGGAGAATTCTGTGAAGAAAGAAAACCTTAATAGGGGCTTCTTGAAATCATGATTGAAGGCCATAGAGAAGGCATGGTAGCACCTCCCAAGGTCCCTCCCTTCTATGGTACTCTTCGATTTCTTTCTTTCCTTTCCCGTTCCTACTTCTTTTCTTTCCTTTCTTTCCCCTTCTTACTTCTTCCATTTCCTTTCTTTTCCGTTCTCATTTCTTTTTCCTTGAATCCTTTAAGATTCGTTCTCATTCTTATTTTCTCTCCCGTGAAATTAACCATTAAGTTCTCCCTAGAATTAGCCCTAAATAAAACCTATGAAACTTATCCTAATTTCACTTTTAAAATCAAAACCCTGGTTTTCTTCACACCCCATTAACTTTAAACCCTAGATGTATTGAAGACCTTTTGGAATTAACTTAAAATTATTCCACACCCCCTTCATCTCTTCGGGCCGATTAGTTTTAAATTTCATTTTGGAAATAACTCTCTTCGGACGGATTAGTTTTAAATTGCATTTTGGAAGTAACTCTTACTTAGTTGATTGTGTTTAAGGAAGATTTCAATCCATTACAAACATCATTCTAACAAAATGCCATGCCCAGAGCCTAAGTGGGTGCCTAAGTGCCCAAAGGGCCCTAGGCCGCACGCCTAGGTCTCGGCAACCCTCTCTAGGCACTAGTTCCTCGACGCATGCCCAAGCAGCCTAGGCGGGTACTCGGCACCGCCTATATTTGGGCAGGCTCTTTTGCAGAAATAAAAAAGCCCTAAGGGAAGTTGGGTCGTCTTCATCTACATAAAGTTTTTTGAATCAAAAAAAAAATTATGAAGTTGAAGAAGCATCCAAAAGCTCACCCTTTCTTATTGGAATTTTTTTAGGGTGATGGCAAGTCTATTTGAGGTAATTTGGGGTGAGTTCTAGCTTGATCGCCATCAAAAATATCAAAGAACAATGATCGAGCAAATTACAAAATACAATCTATATTTGAGATTCTTTTTTTGGATTTGAGATGTCTTCTTCAGGATCTACTAGGAGTGGGGATCCAAGAAGGAAGTATTGTGTTAACCCAAAATAATGTGCAATTTTTTGGACGTGTTTCAAAGGCCAGAATAAATAGGTTCTAGAAACATCTTGCTGGTATTAGAGGGAAAGTTGCCTCATGTAAAACAAGAATTGAGGGCATGGGTTAATGTTGTTGTTGTTGATGATGATGATGATTAGGATGATGAAGGGGAAGAGGAGATGGATCAGGTGGAAATCGTTCATATTTCTATGAGGGTTTTGGTTCTAAGAGGCCTCATATGAAAGGGCCCATTGATGTTTCCTTTACACCTAACCCCAAGGCCACAGTTGAGAAATGGAAAGCCAAGGGAAGTAACAAGTGACATTAGAAAATATATTCAAGAAGGAAGATAGAGGTCCAGTAATTCAATATATTGCTCGATGGTTTTATCAAGCTACCATTTCCTATAATACTGCTCAGTTAAGTAGCCTCCATACCATGTTGGAAGCAAATGGCCAATTTGGGCCAGGTTTGAAAGGCCCAACACCCTTTGAGCTTTCAGAGCAACTAATAAAGAACGAGGCAGAACACACTAAGGAATACCTCGAGCCTCACAAGGATGGGTGGGCTCAATTCAAGGTTTCCACAACGAATTATTCATGGAGTGACAAGAGGAGGAGTATCATGAACCTGTCGGTCAAATGTCCCTTAGGTACAGTATTTTTGAGATCCATTGATGCTTCTGAAGAAGTTCATGATGCACATCATATATACTCTTTTATTGATAAGGGTATTGAGGAGGTTGAGGAGAAGCATGTAATCCGAGTTGTCACAGATAATGCTGCTCCTAATTTAGTTGCAGCTCATTTGCTTCATCAAAAGAAGCCTCATATTTTGGATGCCTTTGCGTTGCACATTGTATAGACCTTATGCTTTTAGCAAATGACTCGTGTTAAAGGCACACTTTCTATGGCTAATGAGGTCAAAATTTCATAACAGCAAGACTATTACCGTTAGCATGATACGCAAGTTCACGAAAAAGGAGATAGTGAGGTCAAGGTCACCAGATTTGCTACGGGTTACTTGACTCTTAAAACTATATATAACAAGAGCACCCCATTGATATCTGTGATCACTTCAGAGGATTGGAGCAGGTGTAAGTGGTCTAGAGATCCCAAAGGAAAGAGGGCCCATGATATTATTCTTTTTAATGTTTTTTGGCATGGGGTGAAGTACTCACTATCAGTATTTCTACCTTCAGTCAAGGTATTGCACTTGGGGCATGGTGACATGTCCTCTATATATAATGCACTAGATGAAGCTAGGAAGGAGATAGGAGAGAGTTCGGGCATAATGAGGCCAACTATGGCCCAATTTGAAAGATTATAGATGAAAAGTGAGATAGGCAGCTTCATAGACCATTGCATTCAGCTAGGTACTATTTGAACATGAAGGCTTTTTATGGTGACCTAGTTATTGAGAGGAAAGATAAATTATGGATGGATTTAATGAGTGTCTTGAGAGACTTGTTCCAAAGCCACAAATCCAAGATAAGATGTCTGCTGAAAAACTCATTTGTTTAAGTGTGCATTGAAGTCATTCAACTGCAGCCCAATGGTGGAGCCAGCATGGGAACGATGCTCAAAGCCTACAAAAGAGATGGTCATCCAGTCCTTGAGTTTAACAACTAGCTCTTTTAGTTGTGAGCGGAATGGGAGTTCATTTGAGATGGTACATTTAGTTGAAGTTCTTTTTTGTTATAAAAAAATGTAAACATACAATATCAATTTTGACTTTAGTCCTCTGTAAGTCCAAATTTAAAAATTGAGATGGGTCAAGTAATAGTGGTAGTTGTAGTGCTAGTAGAACTCATGCATTGTTTCGTATAGGTGCATACAAAGAGGAAATAGGTTTGAACAAAGGATGCTCAATGATTTGATATTTGTTAGAGAGAATCAGAGGCATAGGAAGAAATGCAATCAGCATCACTTCCAATAACAAGGAAAACGCTACTGAGT